TTAATGCATACATGGAAATATGATGAGAGGCTGGAGAGACAGCTCCACACTCAGGAACATATACTGCTCTTCAGAAGACATGAGTTCAGTTCCCAGTGGCTCACAATTTCCTGTGTCTCCAGTTCAAAGGATTCCAGCACCGTCTTTTGAGCTCTGCCAGAATTCCACTCATATTCACATCCCCACACAAACACAAACACATAAAAAATAATAAATAAAACAAAAAAATCAATCTACAAAAATCAATAGCTTTTCTATATAGCAATAACAAGCAATTGGAGAAAGGGAAATGGGAAATGTTCCCATTCACAATTGCTGCAAAAAATAAAATAAAATATTTTGGAATAAATCTGACCAAAGACACCAAAGATCTTGTCTGTTCTAAAATGATGGCTAAATTTGTTTTCTCCCCCTATCTAGAAGCCTTTGAGAGGGAACTGACACTGATTCTAACCACTCCAACAGCTAAGCTATCAAAATACCTGAAAGTAAATCCTGAATCCATCACTCTAAAGTCCAGCCTTAGAAGGCAAAAGAAAAATGAGGAGGAACCCAACAGAGGGATGCTTTCGGAAGCCCTTGTCAAGAAATTCCAATGGACTCTCATATGAACACTGGAAAATTGCCCTGTTCTAACTTTTTTCTAGTTCCCTGTCTAGAACTTATAATACTAATTATTCTTTACCTTTACTTCTCCTTCACATCTCCTATTCATGATTCAAGGCCTTTCTTTTCCCCCTAGAGGTAAGAGTTATGCAACTTGGGAGTCTTTTAGACAGACCCACTGAAGTGGTACTCCAGTTGTCTCACCCTGGGTGCCTGTTCAGTATGGAGGAAGCCAGAGAGGTCTCTGTCCTGATTCCCTATTGGCAATTTGGGTAACCTCTTCAGAGGATGGTGTGATAAGAATAGGAGGTAGGAACTGGCTAGGCAGTTAGGGTAAAAAGACCCCAAAGAAAAGTAGCCAGTTTCTTGGCTAAAACTCACAATGTCCTTGGGCCTCTTAGCAACATACTCTGTTTCAAAGGTCAAAAATGTAGAAAATATTTGGGAGCTTGTATCTAATCCTTAAAAGATTTTAGGGTTACTTCTTCAGAGGGAGGAATGTAAGAGAGGCCAAAAGCCCCATAAAAAAATAAATAAATCATAGATGAAGAAAGAGTACATGAATTTATCAGAAAAAAGTGATGGGGAGATGTGGGAGGAGTTGGAGGGGAGGGAGTGGGCATGGATTTGACCAAAACACCTTATATGCATGTATGAAATTCTCAATAAATTATATATTTAAAAAAATTAAAGCTTTATGAAACATCTTCTTTAATAACAACTAAATGAGAAATCAGCAGTAGAAAGAGCCCTGGAAAATCACTAAATATTTGGAAACCAAAAAGCATACACTTTTAGCAGAGATTAGGAAGAATTAATAACTAAAAAAAGTTAAAATAAGACAAATATTTGGAGGAAAAAGATCATACTAAATGTTTCTACATTAGAAAAGAATGAAGCTTTCAAATCAATGACCTATGTCCACTTTAGGAGACTAGAAGATGGAGGACAAAATAAAATCAAAATAATAAGAAGAAAGGACATAATAAAGATCAAAGTGAGAAATCAATGTGACAGGAAATGGTAAAACAACAGAGGAAATGAAACAAAAAGCTCAGACCTTGAAATAACAATACCTCTCCATTCTCCAGCTAGACTGAGCAGAGAGTAAGAAAAAGAAAAGAAAAATCAAAAGAAGATACACACAGCCCATGCCAGGAATCAGAGACATTGCCTCAGATTCTAGAGCAAGGGCAAATAAAAGAAAAAGCAACTGTAACAACAAATTTAACAACTTATAGGAAAGTGACATATTCCTTGAAATAAACAACTCAAATAGGTCTTTTACCTGCTAAAGAAAAATTGCAGTTAGAAACTTTTTCAAAAGCTAAGGCCCAGATAGATTTTGATGAATTTAATGAACCATATATAGAAGAAATAACAAAATTAGACATGAACTCTTCAAAAAAGTTTTTTGTTTTTTTTTAAGAGGAAAGGGGATTTTTTTTCTTACCAGAATATTTCTGAGGGCAGGGATTTTATCTCATTCACAGCTAGGATGGCTAATATTAATTACCAAATTGATTGACTTGAAAAGTGCCTATGAGATTTATAAAAACATACTTCTAGGTGTGTCTGAGAGTATTTTTTTTGTTTTTTTAAAGTATTTTATTTATTATTTTTATTTTATGTGTATGACTGTATCGCCTGCACATATGTAAGTGCATCCATGTCATGCAATTCCTGCAAAGGTCATAAGAAGGCATCTGATCCCCTGGAAATGGAGTTTCAAACAGTTGTTAGCTGCAATGTGGGTGCTGGGAACCAAACTTGGGTCCTCTGCAAGAGCAGCCAGTGCTCTTAACTGCTGAGCCATCTCTCCAGCCTCTCTATAAGAGTATTTTAAGAGAGAATTAACTAGGGGAGGAAGATCCATCCTGAATGTGGGTATACTATCCCCATAAGGTAGGGACTGAAGGCTAGGTTGAAATAAAAGGCAGTGTGGGGCGGGAAGGAAAGCCTACTAGTGCAGACACTGTCTCCTTCCTCCTGCCTGGGCGCTGTGCAGTAAGCTGCCTGCTCAGCTATGCCCTTCCACCACAATAGACTTAAACCTCTGAAGCTACGATGTCTCCTTTCTCCTTGTACCACCAAATTTCTCCCATTGAAGAAACACATCACCATGCAGAATACAATCTATAATTTTGTTTCTCCATATATTAGCTATATAATTGTGGTATTAGATTCCATGTTTTCAGGTTTTGTTTTCTGTGCAAAATGGGAAAATCATTCATTCCTCTCTCTGCTCTTAAATGTGCACAAAATAATTATTTGGAAAATATTTGAGGTCTTTTCCATATATAACAATAACTTGTGAAGTGATACTCCAAATTTTGTTTGTTGACAAAAGAAATTGAATATAAAATCAATATAGCATCTAAAATTATTAATATTTTACACACATACCTTAGCTCCATATTTTTCAATATAGGCATTAAGTTTCCCAGCTTTAAAAAATGGTATCTATAACAAAAAGTACACATTTGTAGAAAAGAAAAAGACAACATAAATACATAATTAAGTATTGCAATACATACAGATTTTAAGCATAATACAACAAAGCTACTTCTATTCTTTCAAGAAAAACATAGTGATAATCATTCCTCCCTAAACTAGAATCTGTGAGTACACTGTCAAGGTGAATACTGTCTAATACTGACACGATCTCCACGCCATATAAAGGAAAAGGTCAATACATTTTGTGTAATTAATATCTTCCTTAATATACAAGACATGCTTAGACATGAATAAGGAAAAGTGGACCTAAATAGACGGTTAAATTTAAAAGTCCTATGTGCAGCCAGGTGTGGTGGCACATGTCTTTAATCCCAGCACTTGGGAGGCAGAGGCAGGAGGATCTTTCAATTTAGTAATGAAAATGAAAGAAATACAAGTTCATAAGAGACTATTATTTTTAATTTAACAGATAGGCAAATACAAAGGCTTTGAATATCCAGGGTTCATGAGTGAAATGCTGTTTGCTAAAATGTAATACAATACAAAACTTGTCAGAGAGCAATTTAGCAGTATTTATAGTTTAAAATGTGATGTAATCCCACTGCTGAAAATATAATCCCTAGAAATTGCCAAATTATATGATTTCAAGATGCTTTCTGAAGTACTGTTTGTATAACACAAATCAATAACTCAGATGTGCATAACAAACATTAAATTACTGCATATATCCACACAATGAAATATTTCATAACCTTACAAACAAGGAAGATATATGTAAGAACATAGGAAGAAATCCAGGAAACACAGTTAAAGATATAAAATTCAAGTTTCACAGTAGCATGCATAATAATCCCATCTTCTACTTTAAATATATTTTTAAAAAATTTTACAGAATGCTTTTGTAAGAAAGCAAAACATTAAAAAGTGGCTAGTTTCCTCTTATTATTTTTGCTAAGATTAACCCACATAAACTCATTAGACTCCTTAGACAAAAACCTTCCTTGTTCCATACAGATCTTCAACTACAAAAGAATACAAATAAGTTTACTTGCTCACTAACAACTTAATCTTTCTTAAAACTATACTAAAGACAAGAAAATGTAGATGTACTTCTAAGAGCTAGAAGAAAACAAAAGAACTAAGGATTTAGACAATTTATCAGCGTTGTTAAAACAATTTTATTGTATATATGGACCCACAGCACTTATGACAGTATGCACAAGACCTGTGGAAACCCAAGCCAGGGGCCCAGCGTGGCTGGGGGATGTGGGCAGGAAGTCCCAGCCCTAGCTGAGGATCTACTGGCAATTTACGGATGCTAGGGGAGGGACAGTCAGTTTTCCTTACCAATGTGATACCTGATAGGTTGACCAGACTCCAAGGGACAGACCCACACCCAGGAGCACTTAGGAAACACAGATTAGACTTGATAGGCCTTTACAAAAAGACAAACAATAAAGAATATGAAGGGAGATAGTAAGGTGGGGAGTAGGAAGGGTGAACTATGATAAAATACACTGAATATGATCAAAATTTATTGTATGAAATTCTCAAATCAACAAAAATTAAATAAATAATTTCTTTGGAGTCAAATCAATCAAAATCTTGGAAAAGCAGATTTTCAGAGACTTTTTGACAAAAAACTCAGAATAATATGGCTTTTATAATAAAGTTAAAGTTAAATGTAGCATTAGAAAATATATTTCTCATGCCAGGCGTGGTGGTACATGCCTTTAATCCCAGCACTCGGGAGGCAGAGGCAAGTGGATCTCTGTGAGTTCGAGGCCAGCCTGGTCTACATAGTGAGTTCCGGGCCACCTGGGGCTACAGGGAGACCTGTCTCAAGAAAAAAAAAAAAACACCCCCTGAAAAGAAAATATATTTCTTGTTTAATTTTATCAAGTATAATTTTTTGTGTGCATGCATGCGTGTGTGTATGAGTGAGTGTGTGTGTGTGTGTGTGTGTGTGTGTGTGTGTGTGTGTTCACATAGAGGCCAGAGATTGACATCAGATGTCTTCCTCAATGATTCTTCACCTTAGTGTTGGAGATAGGGACTCTTAACTGAACCTGGAGCTCACTGAGTCAGTGGACGACTGGTCAGTAAGATCTAGGGATCTACCTGTCTGTCTCCTCAGTGTTGGGATTACAGGCATATACTGCTATGCCCAGCTTTTCTATGGTACTGGGCATCAAACTCAGTACTTCCTGTTTGCATAGCAAGTACTTTACCTTCAGTGTTTCAAAATAAAATGTCTAGGGGGCTGGGGATAGCACAGGATAAAATTGGGAGTGGTGACACAAACATATAATCCTAGCATTAGGGAGATGCAGACAAGCTCCAAGTCATTCTCAGTTATTTAGTGAGTTTAAGGCCAGCCGGGAATACATGAGACCTTGTCTCAACTAACTGATTGGTTAAAATTTATTATTTAATTAAAAGAAACTGATGTGAGTTCCTTGAAAAAGGGTGGTTTTTTTTTTTTTTTAAGACCAAGTGCTAGTCCAAATAATACAGGCTACTGCTATTTCTCTTGGATGCCCTTCAGAACTTGATGGTAAGATCCTATTGCTGAAGACCACACACACTTTGGTCACAGGATTTGGAGAAATCAAGCTAGTACTGATCTGGAAACTTTCTCCCTACTGGTTAGCTAACAGAAGCAAAACGTCTTATGCAGACTGCAGGGGGAGAAAAATCATCAATGGTTTTACCCAGCTGTGAACACTGTGAGCTACAATAATGACTGGCCTCACAAGATATACCCATGGGTTCAATAATTGCATGAATGGCATGGGGGTAATCAACCACTTTCTGATCGGCTTTAGAGCCCACTATAAACTGAAACTTTTATCAGGTACTGTGAATCTGACCAAGAACTCATGGCTAGGGAGCCATATAGGCCCTAGGGGTGAACTTAAATGTTCTTTTTGTTTTGTTTTGTTTTATTTTGTTTTGTTGAGACAGGGTCTTCGGTAGCCCCAGTGGGCCTAGAACTTGCTATGTAGACTAGGCTGGCCTTGATCTCACAGAGATCCACCTGCCTCTGGCACCTGAGTGCTGGGATTAAAGATGTGTACCACCATGTCTGGATTATACTATTATTTTCCTAAACAGATATAATATCAAATTACTTCCTAATATGTATGTCCACACCCATAATTAGCACAGCTCTCAATCCTCATCAGAGAAGCTTCTCTGTGTAGTATACAGAGAGTCACAGCTGGTCAAAGTGCAGAGAATAAGTGACTGTGGTGTGCTCAGCCACAAATGGGACATCCATATCACACACCTTATCCCCAAGGGTCAGGAACCCAGGAAAAGGGGGCAGAAAGATTGTAAGAGCTAGAGGCTTGGGAGAACTGCTGCAAAACAATGTCTTCCAGAAATAACAGGGCTGTTGCACTATGAACTCCCACCAACTGTGGTTGTCTGTACAAGATCAAGCCAGTCAACATTCTAGTATGGACAGGAGCAGGGCTCACAAATCCCCACCTGTAGCTGAGGGCTAGGATTAGGAGTGTGGTCCTTGGCAGGTTGACCATACTCTAGTGGATGGCCCTATATCCATGCATAGATGTACAGCAGTAACTGGACTTCCTGGATTATTATTTCTTTTTTAAAAAAGAGGACATGAAGTTGGGAGGAGGACATGGTGGGTGGGGCCAGGAGGCCATGGAGGGAATGAAGTGTTAATATGACAGAAATACATTGTATGTATATATGAAATTTTCAAAGATTAATAACAAAAAAGTTGATTTACTGAAATGAGACACTTCTTCCTTTTATGGGGGGAAAGTGTTTGAGACAGGGTCTCCCTGTAGCTCCAGCTGGCCTGGAACTCACTATGTAGACTGGGCTGGCCTTGAACTCACTGAGATTTGCTTGCCTCTGCCTCCTGAGTGCTGGGATTAAAGGTGTGCTCCACCACACCCAGCTGAAACTTCTTCCTTTATATTAATTATAACTAACAATTTATAGATGGCATTAAAGGCCATGCTATCTTAACATATTGTACTATATAACATGCTTTATTCATTAATGGTCTTTAGCTCAGCATTTGTATCAGAGAAAGTTAAATATTTAGAATCACAAAATGGATTTAAATATCAGGCATATCAAAGTTAGTTAATAGAATATTCAATAAAATTGAAATATGGAATGATTAATCCTCACAAACCATCTTCAATTTCAGTTACCACACTTGAATTATTGTTTATCAATTGCTTCCAATAATTGGTAATACTAACCGACATCACTACCCAAATTTGGTTTAGTATTCTAGGAACAGGCGCTGTGAGAATATCTTCATGCAAAAGCAGCAACTGCCTGTGGAAAAGAAATGTATTCGTTTCAAAGTGAACTTGCCTACTGTCTGTGCTTTCACTTTACTGGAGTATTTGGAAATTTTGCTTGGTTTAAAATCTCACTTTTCTACCCAATTTTTCTACCTATTATTATTTCCCCAAGGTAAGTCTTTAGTAAGTATAATCAAATTGCATCCAAGCAGGAAAGGTACTGATTCTCCACTGTGCTTTAGGGAGGGGATAAAAAATAGGGAGAAGTCTTATGAATAAGGGGAAAATGGAGGATACCAAAAACCTGTCTTCCTCATTTTCTGCCCTTAGCCTAGGATGGCCTCAATCTTGAGATCCTCCTACCTCATTTTCCATACTGCTGGGATTACAGGTGTGTACCATCACACCCAGTTTGCCCTTAGCAATCTTAGTGGTTTTATTCTTCTAGGAGTTATTTATTTAAAAGTACGATTTTGCCAGCGAGGTGGCACACGTCTGGAGTCCCAGAACTTGGGAGTCAGGGGCAGGCAGATCTCTGTGAGTTCAAGGCCAGCCTGGTCTACATAGTGAGTTCCAGTCCTGCTGGGGCTACAGGGAGACCCAGTCTCAAAAAGACCAAAAGAAGAAAAATAAATAAAATAATGACAATAAATAAATAAATAAATAAAATAAATGTATAATCTTGTCTTGAGTCCTTCTTTGCGTACCTCAAACAACTTAAGGATACATGAGTCCTTAATAATCAGGGAATTATAATTTAGGCTTCAACTGAGCTGTTGCTTTAAAGATTACTTAGGGTCACATTTTTTTTTAATCTTTTTTGAGACAGGGTCTCCCTGTAGCTCCAGCTGGCCTGGAACTCACTGTGTAGACCAGGCTGGCCTCGAACTCATAGAGGTACACCTGGCTCTGCCTCCCAAGTGCTGGGATTAAACGCATGCGCCACTGCACACAGCCAGGGTCAGATATTCTAATATACTCTTAGAGAAATATTCTTTACTGTCTTCTATTTGATTTGTAAATTAAGAAATTATATTAATCTTAGTATCTTTAAGTACCTTGCCAAGGAATAGATAGTAAATATGCATTACTTAGTGTCTCTAAATTTAGGGCTGCCTGATTTGATTCCTGTCTTACAGAGATTTGAAAAGATTTTCAAGTACATAAAGAGATCATAAATATAAAGACTCAGTGAGATATTCAAGTGTTTTAAGTCTGTTTAAATAAATCCAAACTGTCTTGTTAAAACTGAATTTGTTTTCAAATTAAATATACAGGTAAAACAAATGTTTTGAAGAAAATACTTCTAAATAGCTATTATAGGTTTCAAGAAGTTTAAAAGATGACAAGTTTTTACCTGCACATCTTTATTTGTATACTCCTAATCTCAGTTTCTGCCACCTTGCTACTCAAGGTTATCTGGACAGAACAGAGTCTGTGTAAATCAGGAAGTAAGATAAAGAACAGAGACTGCTGCCTGGACTCATTCATATCTTCTTATTGACAGTGGTCTCAGCAATCAGGCCTTCAGAAAAAAAAAAAGCAATAAAAAGCAAGCAAACATCTTAGCTACAGGATTTCAATACAAACTCAGCAGATATTTGAGACTAAGAAAATAAATTAGCAAGTGACATCAGTGAAATACCAGCAACTTTCACCTTCAGAGTTTGCTAATCATTTTTAATCACCTGTATTTGGTATAAGTTTTATTGTTATTGTTCACCTAACATAAATTATCCATTTAATATGTAATCAAATGCTTCTTTTAACTATATTTATAGAGTTGTGCACCCATTGATTTAATAAAACTTAGAACAATTTCATCATCTCTCCCCAATAATCTAGACTTCTAAATCTCAAATTCTATAACACAAATTGAATGGTTAATTTAAGTACAAATAGCAATAAAAAGCCCTACCAACTAATTCGTAAATGTTCTGTTTTCTAGGTACTTACTATGCATCTACCAAATTATGTTTAATAATATATTCCTGACCATCCTTAAGTTTTATTTTGTTTTCTGGAAAATGAAATCTCTCATAATAATTTAAAAATAAAAAAATGTATAGCCAAGACCTCTATTATTTCAGATTATCTCTATAAACCACTTCAAAGTTAAGGAAGACTATATTGTTTTTTAAAAAATTATTTTTATTTTACATGAAAGAAAATGTTAACTGAAATTTGTAACTGTTCAGCTTTCTTTTCCATGAAATTACCTGGCTTAAAATTTTCTATCTGGGGATACATATTAAAATTGCTAATTCACATGGCTATCTTTGAGGTGTGTGTTATTACAGAAAACTGGAGTGTAAATTGAACAGATTATTAAAGTTCAAGCTCTCTAACAGTAACCTGGCCTCTAGTATTTTAAACTTAACATTAACTTCTCTAAAATCAGTAGCCCAAGATTGTGAAGTGTGACCAGTCTAAGTCTGACCACAACAACCAAATGCCTTTGTGTTGTCACTTGAGGAATGACGATGATGACATCTGGTTTGAATACATTTAGCTCACTTAAGAACCACAGCATCTGAAATTTTCTTCAGTAAGCTTTCTGCGCTGGATTCACTTATGCTTCCCACGGCCGCCTGGGTAAGTTACGGTTGCTCTTTGGGATTCACTTTCTCAGCGACCACAATGGTCTCCGAGATCTTACTTAGATATAAACTTTAAGAAGTGATTCTAGAAATTTCTAATAAAATGCTCTAAAAACTGGAACTCCTGAGTCTTAAAGGATGAGTATACCTTTTCCTGACACTAAAATCTAGAACTAGCCCTATCCCAAAACAGCACACACATGAATTCAAGATCCAGGTCTGTGGGGGAATAAAAATCCGCTCCTCAACCTTAGGGTGGCCGCCAGGAGCATCCCTGACCTCCTCCCTCCAGTCTCTCCTACCAGTCAGGTTGCTTCCTCACAGTGGGAAATAAACCTGGTGTTTCCAAGAACCGTTGGGGCAATGTCTCTGGAGGCGTCTGCCCTATAGGCCTGAGGAGCCTGAGGAGCAGCAAAGCCTTTGGCTACCCTGCTCTCTCCAGCAAGGCTCTCCTGCCTCCGTTGCTCTCCTCAGCACTTTCCAAAGACGCTGAGGTGCTGGTAGAATACTCTGTACTCCAGTCATAACCTATGCTCTCCTCAGACCCGGCTTCTGTCGTGTCCCGCGCACTCGCTCTCTCCCATCAGGACCTGCGTGAAGTCCCACACGCTCCCATAAGGCTCCATTCTCCCATCAGGCCTTGCGCTGGCGTCAGGCGCGGCACCCAGCGAATTCCCATATGCTCCCATCAGGCCCCATTCTCCCATCAGGCCTTGAGGTCCTGTCAAGTCTCTGATCCAGGCAACCTCCCCCTTTCCCCCCAATTCCCCTTGGGTTCGGTGCTCCCATCAGGGCCCGAGCTCCCTCCTGTCGGTGCCATTTTCCCATCAGGCTTCCTGCTCCTGTCAAGCCAGGCTTACTCTTTGGCATGACCCACGTGGTCTCGTAAGGCTTGCACTTCTCAGGCCCCATGCTCCCATCAGGTCTTGAGCTTTTGGTACAGGGCTGGCTATGTGCTACTCCCAGCCTTGCCCAAGGGCTTTTCCCGCCACATTTAGGATTTTCTTGTTCTCTTTGCAGGCCGCTGAATTAGAAAAGGGTCGGCAGAGCTGCAGGTGTCTCCTCAGAAGGTAAAGTTGGATTGACATAAATGGACAGTTATGAAGCCACAGGCGCCACAGTTGACTGGGATGAGTTCTCCCCAGGCTGTCGGTCACAGAGCGCATTTCGGCTTGATTGTCTTGTTTTCTCTATGCAGCTTATAGAACTCCTTTTTTTTCTTTCTGTTGTTTTTTTTTTTTTTTTTTGAGACAGGGTCTCCCTGTAGCCCTAGCTGGCCCAGAACTCCCTTATGTAGTATGTAGACCAGGCTGGGCTTGAACTCACAGAGCTCTGTCTACCTCTGCCTCCCAAAGAGTGCTGGTATTAAAAGCGTGAGCCACCACACCCGAATTTTCGTAGACTGAATCCCCACAATCATGAAGTCTTTAAAAACTTGTAATAAATACCTCTTATTTGACAGTTTTAAAGCATGGAACAGATGCTGGTATTTTTCTAAGGGTTTGATGATAGAGCATGAAGCAAACAATAGTTTCTGCCCTTGTAGAACTTTCTTGGAGGTTGATGACGCCAAGGTGAACTCTCTTGTTGGACCCACACAAAATTAAGAGCTGGGAAGTAATGAAAGGAAGAGGGTTGTTGCCTCTCTGGGTTAAGTTCTCTCATAAGAGCCCAAAGAGATTTCTCCTTCTAAGTATGCACGTATGTGACAAAGTTTATCTTGTATATTTTTTTTTCTCAGACATCTTTATTTAGGTGCCCATCACATGTGTTTCCTGGTCACAATCAAAGCTGGGTTCAGGATGTTTTGAAAGGACAGATTTGTAAGCCAATTCATCCCTATAGTACTGGTAACTACACCAGTTATTACCTATGCCAATCAGTAACAGGTGCAAATATACCCTCATAAAAATGGACACTGGTGGCACATGCCTTTAATCCCAGCACTCAGGAGGCAGCAGCAGGCGGATCTCTGTGAGTTCAAGGCCAGCTGGTCTACATAGTGAGTTCCAGGCCAGCTGGGACTACATCAAAAAGAAAAAAAAAAAAAAAAAAAAAAAAAAGGACACTGCCTCTCACAAGCATTTCCAGGCAAGTGAGTAATAAGTAAAGCTATAAAAAGCTGCAAAGAAGGCTTTCACTCATCTCAGTGTTATGTGACTGTGACAAGGCTACTGATTTCACCACCACTGATGCACAGACCTCAACTAAAGGCAATTAGGTGCAAACCATGGCCCCTACCTCAACTGACTGGGCCTAGGTTAATTGTTTTAATGGGCTATTAGCAGCCAGTTGTTTTGGCATAGGCCTTCAACACCAGCACATGGGAGGCAGAGGCAGGTGAATGTCTGTCCCACAAACCATAAAGGCTATTGCCACTACTGTTGGTTACATGCTGAAACTAGATGGTTAGACCCTACTGCTGAAGATATCACATGCTGAGGTTGCAGGACATGGAGAAATGATGCTAAAATAAGCTGGAAGCTTCCTCCATATTGGCTAGCTTGCATGGAACCAGGTACATGCAGATTGCTGGAGGAGATTTGTCACCAACAGTCCTACTCAGCTATGAACCCCAAGTGCACAAGTACCAACAGGATGAGCAGACTATGCTTCCTGGTGCAACAGTGGCATAATTACTGTTTGAGTTCAACAAGCAGCTTTCAAATTGGATTTACAGCTCACTCCATGGGAGAACGTTTGTGTCTGATATTATGAGCCAGGAACAATTTTTATGAGTTCACTTCCCTTATGGATAAGAAGTCACTCTGAAAACTCTAAGAATATAAACAACAGGAAAGACTATAGCTGTCACAGTTCCCAACAGCAACAGTGTGTTGTGTGAAATTTCTCCAGGGAACCTGAGCAAATGTCTACTCACCTGAGACAGGAAGCTAATGACACAAAAAAGTAATTCTACCAATGTTCAATTCACTGAACCAAAGATGCTATGGGGGTTACTTCCAGGACTGTGGACAATCACAGACAGCTGCATCACCAAAAGCCCATCCAGCCTAAGTGATGACTCATGGAAACTACAATCCTGAGATCTCTGCACAACTGGTGGGCAGCTTGGTTAGTTGGGGAATTTCTTCTTTTCACAATTGTTTACTGCATCTATAACCTTGTGAAGTGGCCTTGGCAATCATGTGATTTGAATATTCCAGAATTCATTTCGTTTCTTGAGTCTCATGCCTCCCTTTGAAAGAGACTGTCAATTTGAAGGAAATTGCTCAACAACAGTCTAGCCCTTCCTCTGGCTCTTACATTGTTGTAATGCTTTTATATACTTGGCGGGCAGGGCGTGTGGGTATAAATGTCTATCCATGGCTAACATTGGGCCACTGTGCCGGAGCACACTCACTTTTTCTCAGGATCTTCATCATTGGTGTTACGTCATCCAGTGTAAAAGGAAATTTCCATCCATGAAGAATTGCAGCTGACAATTGCAGTCATCTATTAGTCATGAACTGAAATGTTGAGAAGGGAATTTAAGACACATCACACCCACCTGACATAACAATAGCAATTGCTTCCCTACTGGGGCCTATGGGGCCTATCTTGTACATTCTTTAAGAGTGCAACAATTTGGACAAGATGTGCTTAAGAGAATTTGTGCCTGGCAACAGATCCTTCACCACTGAGCCCATCCTAACTCTTGAATAAAACCTCCAACACCAATAAGCTTTGTGTAAAGCAGCTCATATAAACAATTCCTGATTTTGCCTTCAAAAACTTTCCATTTCTTTAACCTCTTTGAAAATATAAAATTAATAGTTTACCATGGTGATATAATTATGGAGAAAATTATCTCAGAAGACACTTTAGTTCTATATCTTTAAGCTGGATAGTTTTCTAAGCAAAGCTAAACAACACATTGCTTGTAGATGT